TTGAATAAAGAGTGTATTATTTGAAATATAATAGGCTTAAAAATATAATTATTAGGAATTGTAGGGAAAACTGATGAAAAATAAAAATGCAAGCGAAAAGGGGGCATAGTCCCCCCCCCCCGGCTGCCAGTGCCTATGGTATTGAATAAAGAGTGTATTATTTGAAATATATTCGTTTGGCATCATTTATTTGGGGATACCTTCCTGACCCAATTTTAGGACACAGTCACGTAACATCTTATTCCACTACAACGTAGAAAAATACATGTACTGTTCCAATTAACACAAACAAAGACCTGTCATTTTCATTAATAAAATACTCGTCAAGAAATAGATGTTGGTTAGCTTGTCGAGGTGATGGAAGGAGAGAAACGTCACGACAGTTACTGGCGATCTTCGGAGGCCGACGGCAACAGGCGGTATTTCAATATTATAATAGAGAAAAATAGTTTTTTTAGCTATTTGTATTACGTAATAATGAAAAACTGTTTCGTAATGGGCAAAGTTTTCTTATGTAAATTTTCGTTATAGCGAAAAATGCGAACGCAAAGAGAAAAACATGCCTATAAATGTTAATTGCATTATAGTGAAAAAAACGTAAACTGAACGATCGTAAACCGAGGGATGCCTATAGTAATAAAACACAGAAGCTGTTATCTAGCTTTACATAACTATATTAAATGTGATGTAAAAGATAAAACATGACTGGTTGTTCAGATAAGATGGTCGAATACTGGAAAAGTTGTGACTTGATTATATGTACAAACCAACATATCATCCCCTATATTAGATGAACTCCACTCCTCACGTGAGTTTAATCTCAGAAAAATTCTCCCATGCATCAGATCGTATCTCAGACAAACCCCCTCGCCATCCACCAGTTTGTATTTCAAATAATTTCCCTTCTCATTTACCAGGTCGTATCTGATATACCCTACCTCATCCACTAGTTCATATCTCGGATAAGCTCATAATTAGAATAAAGATATTGTTGGAGAATCCATTACGATTATGGAGTTATAAATAAATCAAGAGCAATCATTATTATACGGCCATCAGAGGTTTTAAATTTTATGGTTAATTTGAACATCGTACTTTTTGTACATTAACAAGTGAATTTAGAATTGTAATACATTCGAATTAAATATATTATAATTTCAAGTTTACTGTCAACACTACAGTGTGAAATAGGAGAAAGCACTTTCATTAAGACATTAGTGCACTTAAATTAAGGCAGTATTAAATTAGAGTACATTCATTAAGACAGTGTTAAAGTA